GGACGCTGGAGTGGGGAAGAGGGTCGCATCTGGTTTTCAGGCAAATGTTTTTGGTTTGTTGACCTTTCTCAGTTTTTCTTGTTTCATGTGCGCTATATGCCTCGACACCCCATACCCGCTTGACGGCAATTTTGGCACTATTCAACTATTACTACCCCAGATTTCCGGAAACGGGCTGGATTTTGATCGACTTTTTTCTAAGGGGGTGGATTTGGCTGAAAGTTGGGTTCTAGGGGTAATTCGACCTCCTGAACACGAATATCACATCCGCTCCTCTCGAAACCGCCTGGCGCCCGCGCCACAGGCGCCGGCGCCAAAGTACCCTAGATCACGAAATCCGCTGAAAACTTGTACCTAGGGGTAGTTTGACCTCCTAATCACGAATATCACATTTCCCTCGGCTTGAAACCGCTCCGCGTCCGCGCTACGGGCGCCGGCGCCAAAATGCCCCAAATCACTGGCGCCTATGGCGCGGGCGCCAGGCGAATTTCAGGTCCAAGTGGATGTGATATTCGTGTTCAGGAGGTCGAATTACCCCTAGAACCCAACTTTCAGCCAAATCCACCCCCGTAGAAAAAAGTCGATCAAGATCCGGCCTGTTTTCGCAAAACTGGGGTAGTAATAGTTGAATAGTGCCGAATTTCTTTTCTGAGAAATCTGAGGGCATTTTTGAAAAAAAAAAATAAAAAATACTAAAATAACTATAAAAACTTGAAAATTACCAAAATATTAGTATTACCAAGCACACCTGCTTTTCCTTCGTCATTATTTTTTCCTCAACCCTACCTCACTGGTTTTCCACAGTCCCAGGGTTTACAAAATGACAACGGTTGATGTAAGGCTGAGGGACGAGGAAAACCATCTCTTGTTGTATTAGGTTGTCCGGAAAGTTCTTAGCGTTTTGTGCACCTAATCTTTGTACATTCACTGCTGATTAAAAACTCATTCTGCCTTGCTTCTCAGTAGCACATCCTGTAGAGAATTTCTTGCGCTATCTGATGGTATAATTGCCGTTTCACCATTGCTTGATAAACCCTCTTTTTTCAAGATTTTTTCAAGCATGTGAAAAGAGCACTTCGGACGATTTTTTTCTTCGACTATAAATTGGGGCAATCCGCAATCGAAACAGCTCAACAAATTAACCAGGTGTGGGGGCCCAATAGTGCTAGAGAAAGCACTGTGCGGCAATGGCTCAACAAATTTCGTTCTGGAGATTTCAGCCTTGAAGGTGAACCTCATAGCGGTCGACCTAAAGCAATATCTGACGAGGATTTTAGGGGGATTTTGAAGGACCCATCCCAAACAGTTCGAGAGATAGCAGAAGAGCTAGGCCTTGGCAAATCCACTGTTGCAGATGGTCTGGAACGCATTGGGAAGGTGAAAAAACTCGACAATTGGGTGCCCCACAATCGGAGTGACCGGCAGGAATCGGCACGTCTCGAGGTTCCTTCTTCACTGCTTTTGCGCAAAAGAATTGACCCGTTTTTGAACGGATTTGTCACCTGTGATGAAAAATGGATCATGTATGATAACAGGAGACGTTCCGGACAGTGGTTGGATTTGGAGGAACCACCGAGGTAATTTTCAAAGCCGAACCCTCGCGAAAAAAAAATTCTGGTCAGGTTTGGTGGTCATCGGCTGTTGTAATCCACTATAACTTTTCATCACCAGGCCAAACCATCACAGCAGAACCCTACTGTGAACAAACCGACCAAATGTACCGAAAATTGTCAGCTGCAGCCAACACTTATCAAAAGAAAGGGTCCGATTCTTTTGCATGACAACGCCCGCCCACACGTTTCACAAATCACTATCCATAAATTGAACGAATTGGGAGTTGAAGTTCTACCTCACCCACCATATTCTCTAGACCTTTCACCAACCGACTGTCACCTTTTCAGACATTTTCAGAACTTCCTTGCTGAAAAATACTTCATCAATTAAGACCAGGCAAAAAGACCTTCGCAGATTTCGTGGATTCTCGACCACCCAGTTTCTTTGATGGGATTTCTCGACTGCTGCCACATTGGCAAAAGTGTGCTGATTCGAATGGTGCTTATTTGGATTAAATCCGATGAGTGTTAAGAAAGTTATGATCGTTTAAAGTTAAACACCCAAAACGCTAAGAACTTTCCGGACAACCTAATAGTATTCTTCGATTCATTTCTTTTTTCTCTTTTTTTTTCTGTTCTCAGAGTTAACTCTGAAGACGTATTTAGAGAAGGAGTACAGTGGGCAGAGCCCAGAATTGCTCCTACGTTAATACTGCGCTCCGGACATATCTAGGGATGAGGGTAGAAGGTTATACGTTGTAAGTTGCACGAATTCTTCCATAGTAGTACTCAAAGCAAGGGAATTAATCATTGACCTGGTTCTACGGCTGGATATTTTGGTAAAATGCCTGAACTCCCTTGAAGCATAGGGGAAGTGAAACTGGTAGTCTCTTTTATGAGGGAAGCATTCGCCTTGGGGGGCACCGAATGTACTACAGCTAAGTTTTTATTCGAGCCACTTCCTGAGACCTGTGATTTCCTCGTGATTTGACGTGGTTTACTCGCACCACTTCGCTAATTCACCGAAGCTACAGGATGTTCATTCAAACGGACTAAAAAGGATTCTGTGAAAGTGCAAAAAGCCTCTCGCAGCCGACCAGCCAGCGGCCGCCAATGTTGTAAATCCGTGTGTTCAGTACATAACGGCCAGGAACTTAAAAGTAAAGCTGTTGTACCCCGAGTAGTTTCTTAGGGGAACTCAAGCTCCCCCATCAATTTATTTCCCCTCTCCATCCTATTGCAAGGAGGAGCATAACAATGGAATGTGCGCACTTGTTTGAGTGAGCCCGCCCATGTGGTCAACGCGGACTTATTCTAGAACATCTCTCGACAAAAAAAAGATAAAAACATTTCAGGAATTCCGTAAAAGTGCACGAATAAGGTCTGAGTAAGCAAGAGACAATGAGAAAGACTGACCAACTCGTTTGATCGTTTCGGTGAGACACTTCTGAGCGGTTTTACGATGCTCATCACTCTTACTCGACAGATGTGACATTAAGGCCAACACGAGCTGATTCAGCACTGCTTTCAAATGCGCTTCTGTGGAGTAGAGCCTGAAAGAGAATTTTTGCCGCGATCATCTCAGCAATGGAGGGTTCAAACCTACTTGCTGAGCACAGGCAGAGTGACCATGTAGGTGTCGAGTCCCTCCAGAGACACCTTGCTGTTGATGTCGTTCAGACGACCAATGAATGCTTCAGTCAGCTGCAACAAGTGCTGGTTATTTTCTGCCACTTCTCGTTGGGCCAAGGGACTAGTACCTTGGTGTTCAGAGGCAACGGCCTTGGTAGCGCTGGAACACATCTCCTCGAAACGTTTCAGGCCACCTAGTCGACGTTCCCATCTGGAAGAATTTGACGGAAAGTTGAATAAAAGGGATCGATCGTTCTTTTCATAATCCTACTAGGAGGTGAAAGAGACGAGCTGCTAGCTCTCCCCCCCCCCCAGCACAACAATGTACATAATTTAGGACTCTACAGTTTGCTTTGAGACGAATTGAGACATACCCGGCAGCGGTAAGATCAGCCCGTATCTCGTCGAGATCCAACTGGGGACGTTGTCTGGGAGTTTTCTCTGAACGGTCTTGCGAATACTGCGCTTCTGGACAGAGAGCCGGCTAGGGAGGTGCACGTACTGTCCAACGAGTCCAAGCCCTGAACTTTCTCAACCATTTGCTAGTTACTAAACTCCACATGACTGATAGACAGAAATGTCTCAGCCTTTTTTGGAAGTCGCCTCTAATCAATATAACACAATAGCTCGAAATAAGCGGTTCATCAAAAGCCAAATGTGAATGAGGGAGTTGTTGAAGATTCCGTTCCCACCATTTTATAGTGGTGATGACTCGAACAGGGGCTTGGCTAGGGGTAGATTACTCTCCAATTTCAGCACTTGCCGGTAACTGTCGTTTTTCTAGAGACCCTGAGGCAGCATTCAGACCTCGCGATGAGGAGGCGCGTCGAATGCGTACAACGCGTCATCGCGAAGTCTGAAATGCTTACTAATCGCAAATCAGAGATGTCGCGATCTCGCTCGTGAAAATCGCACGTGGGCCCCCTTCTGACTAGTTGGCGCCCAAATTTGCGTCCATGCCCTTTTCATTGAGGAAAGAAGCCCCGATCTCGCAAGGGAATCCCCTACTGGTCGATCCGGCCATTCCTGGGAATGGGTGCCATAGTGGAAGAAAACTGATGGCAACTCCCCTCAGAGGACCGTTCTGCAAACCCTGAGGGCAGATTTGGGTTCATTGGCACCGCAAACCAGGGCACGTCGCACGCTGGAGAATGTTCAGCGGGGGAGGTCGTATCTAGTCACTGCGGCGAGGATGGCTTTTGGATTATGAAAAATTCGTTGCTTTCCTGTTTTCCTCGCGTCATCTGCAACTTTCAGAGACTGCCATGAGAGGTGGAGAGAGGTCGCATTTGTTTGTTCTATTTCGATATTTGAATCTGAGTTTCTCGGCAACCTTCGCCCCCTCTCGGCACACTCCGCTCGAGGGACGGCCAAGTCTTGGGAAAAACTGGTGAATTCCGGGAGAACTCTGGGAAACGTGGCAGGAAGTTGGGGAACATTCAATGAGATGGCAGGTATTATGGGAAGGGGAAACCGGACCCAAGGAGGACCTTCGAGGCAGGGTTGCATTCTGTGAAAATTTTCCATAGTGAGAGAACATGCCTTAATGTAAATGGCCGAATCGATCTGTTGGATTCCTCTTCTTAGAGGATTTTCTCATTTACAGGGAATTTGGGGATGTGCAGCAGGGAGATTAGCTGTATCAGCTTAGCAAGCAATGTTCGGCAGAAATTCCTGGGGGGTCGGCTGCATTTTATATCCTTCGAAACTATTCGTACGGGTCATCTCTATAGAAAATCATGCCACGACCGCTCCAGATGTGAGATTGGGTCCAGGAAATTGGGTTGTTGCCTACCTTTTTGTCAATCTCGTCCAAAATGCACCGAATAGCACGGTAATCCGAATCGCTAACTGCCTTCTTCACTTGTCTGTCGAAATTAGCGTCCTGAAAGGTTTACTAAGTTAGAACGGATTTTCACGGGCAAAAGTTCATCTTGCTGAAAGATTTGAACCAGGAAGTATTAAACCTTCTAGTCCGCAGACAATCTTTCAGGCGCTGTTCGGCTTGGGGGAGGTGAGAGTTTTCGCATTTCGTTTAGTCCCTTTTGCTAGTTAATGTTAACTAACAGGTCTCACTTTGGTCAGACTTGTAAACTCCTGTCAAGTTGCAAGATTGATCGAGTGAGCCCCAGGAATTTACAGGTCTTCACAGGGTGGCCGGTACGAGCTTAGCTAAGACTTGTAAACTCTTGTAAAGTGAACCACACTGACAAAAGGATTTCACGGGTTTTCACGTACAAGATTTGCTGAATATCATTTGGTGCCCCCACCAAGTCGAACAGCGCCATATTTGTACACTGGCACTTGAATACATATAAGAATTAATCCACTCTCGGGAGCAATTGGTTCTCACATGGATTGCAAATAATCTATTCCCCACCGAATCCTACGATTCCCAGAAGTACAACAAACCAACCTGACTGAGATTCAATAGGGTTTGCTTGCCATGCATCCGAACTTGAGCATTCGGATCACGGCTGAAAGCAAGCAATTGGCTGATGAGTTTGGAAAGCTGATCCGGGGACGACAGTATCGTCGTAGTTCCCAAACGGGACACCAACGAGCACACGAAACCGGCACATGTCGCGCGAATCGTGTTGTTCTTCGATCTGAATACAATCTCTGAGAATCTGGAGTATTGGCTTAACTAGGGTGGAGACAAAGAAGTATAAATCCTCACTTGGATCCGGCAGCGATGATTGCCTGAAGGGCTTTACCGGCTGAGGCGTAGTTCACAACTTTCGTCAGAGCTTCGCCGGCATCTTCACGAATAAACGCATTCGAAACGTCACCGGCTCTGTTGATCAGGATCATGCATAGCTGAAATGCGAGACACTTCTTATATTTAAATGCGGAAAGGCATTTTTTCAAGGAAACCGGGCCACTCGGGGGTCACAGGTACTGCTCCCCACTTTTTCGAGGAACCAGAGGTGAATGCTTGGTAATAAAGAGCAAATATACCATTTTCACTTGAATACACCACTTTTCAAATCAAATTCCCCACACTTTTGGACCGGGCAATCCATCAACCAGATCACGCCAGACACCACCGCGAGCCCCGCCCCGACGGCCACGCCTACTTGTCAGCGCGGACATATCACATTTTGTTTCATACCTTCTGCTTCTATGAGTTTTTTCTTTGTTGCTACACTTCGACTGAAAAGGGCTGGATGCCACTCATAGCCAAATCCGCCCATTTGCGAACTTGGGATTTTCATAACTTCTTTCAACTTTGTTAATTTCACATCCACTCTTCACAGAACGGTGGTACCCAACACTGAGCTGTACCCTCGTGGCCACGCCCACTCTGCATCCTCCTGTGAAATTTTGATCTTTCTGAAATTTTTACATTTTTGGACCGCCACTTGAGGCCCCGCCCACTTCAGAAAAATGATGCGGATCGGCAGTTGTAGGCGTGGCCGCCGAGGCTGGGCTCACGGTCGCGGGTGTCTGGCGTGATGTTGTTGACGAACTGTCCGGTCTACAAAGTGCGGTGAATTTGGTTTGAAAAGTGGTGAATTTTAAGTGAAGATGGTACAAATAGAGGAAGGTCCGCCGGTTAGAAAACTAGTCATGAAAGGGATAATAAGCTGAGTTCTTATTGCTTTAACCATAGCTTTTCTTCGGAAAATTGATGAAATTATAGATACCAGGGCATCCTGGCGCTTGGGAATATGATTTTTCTCGAATGTTCTCCTCCAGTACAACCCCCTTCCACAATCAATCAGTCGTCCCACCAAAATTTCTCAAAATTTTGCCACTGAGCGGGGAGGGCCACCGATTATGGAGCGGGTAAGAAAGGATCGAGATAGGGAAGAGAGAGGGGGTATATAACGCGATAAGTGCAAAACATCAACAATCAGAAAAAAAACTTGTGGGAAACGGCACGTGAACGTGAACATAAGTTGTACATCGAAAATGATAGAAGCTATTATAAGAGGCTTCATGTATGCAATATAAGGCGGAGGAGAGCCCCTACATGCGAAATAAATTACAGTGAACGGCGATGAAACAAGTACACACGGGAATAATGCCCAGATAGGGAAAGAAGTTCCAGAGATACCCCCTTAGCAGTAGGTCCGGCGCCTTGGACGAGTTTGGCGGGTCGTTCGGCAAAGCCAATGCATCAGGATTCGACGGCACTTTTCGAGTAAACCAAATAGTGGTATATTCTCTGCGAATGCGGACAACGCCAAATGCACGGAGGCATTTCGTGGTCCCCTTGATCGTGATAACTGCCTTTTAACATTGCGTAGAATGCTTTTTAGCAGAATATTCCCATTTGAAGCAAGTGCCATTGTCGTGCTAGCGTTGAAGACATCATGTCAATGGTGTTGACCAAGCAACGTCCCCGGCTAATGCCGTTTGGACTCCAGCAACTTCGGCACCGAGCTCATTTTTAAATTGCCTAAGTTACCAAATCCGCTAAAAACTTGTATGTAGGGGTAGTTTAACATCCTGATTACGAATATGACATTCATTCTTGGCCGCTGGCGCTAATGGATGACACTACGATTACCTGCGCTCCGCTAAGGCTGAGCCCAAGAGGTAATCGTAGTGTCATCCCTTGGCGCCAGCGCCAAGAATGAGTGTCATAATTGTAATCAGGATGGTAAATAACCCTTGTGTACATATTTTCAGCGGGTTTGGCGACTTAGGTAATTTAAAAATGAGCTCGGTGCCGAAGTTGCTGGAGTCCAAACGGCATTAGCCTTCATTCCACCAAAGGCGCAGCCGCCGTCACATTCAAATCAGGCACAAAGGCATGCCCCCTTCTCTGGGATATGAGTGTATCAAGTGTAAGTACCGGCGAAATCATCGAGTATAAGGTGATGTTTTATGGTAGATATTTAGAATGCGATGATTCTACTGAGCTGTAATTATTGGTAAAGATTTTGCCAGGTCCCATGCCTCGCACTGTCAAGGAAATTGCTCACCTTGTCAAGTTCCATGTCCATTTTGCCTCTCATGTTTTGTGTCAATGTGCCGGTACAGGCAAGTGCCACTCGTGAGACGCTTGACCGAAGATTTTTACACTCGTTCAAAATCGCAAGCACTACCTGCAAGTTGATAACGTAAACCTGAGAAAATTCTTAATCTACTGAAGCTGGGGAGGTGGTGAGGAGATCCGTACTCGGCAGTGCAACGAGCCGCGTTACAAGTGGCGCGGCACAAGGAATTTAGGCTACAGTGAATATATATGAATTAGCACTTCGTGGCGTTAAGTGATCCAGCTTTTGCTAGTTGCCGCAATAGGGATCCGCTGGTCTGGGTGAAGTTACTGCCCCTTTCCAGCCCCAACTGAAGACAGATCTCACGAAGCTTACCTCATGCATATGATCTGATACATCTGTCGGGTTGGTTGCCGAAAGTTCACTGATCATATTTATGCCCTCCACTTTCTGGCTCCTGAAAGTGTCTCATTAATTGGCAGAAAAGTAAATCTTCCTACGCGGAGAGATTCTTCTCGTGGGCACACCTATGTAGGAAAGTGGCGCTTGCTACTATTATCAGACTTTCATGTAGAACTTGGTGCACAATTTTTTAGGCTTAGTCCATATCCGAGGAATGGAGAGAGCGTGACCACGAATTGGTTCTGGGCGCCAGATCATGTCGCCCTTTGGTTACTTTGAACGAGGCAGGAGTGTTTCCGAGTGGGTCCTACTCACCTTCTCTCGA